GTCCAGAGACACCGTCCACACGGTGTTGGCGATGCGCTCGTTGAAACGGTCGCCATAAATGGCAGCCAATGCCAGGGCTTCCTCTTGACGCTGGCTCAGGCATTCGTCCATCGGCACCCCCTGGAGGCCATCGGGGAAACCGCTTTCTGCCCATAGCGTTCGCTGAAGACCTGGTGGAGAAGATGCTCCAAAGTCGACCCGAATTCTCCTCCGCCAGACTCCAGAGCCTGTTTGCTTCTCTCCCTGTCGAAGCCGTATCTTCAAAAGGGAACGCAAAAATGTTAAGAGAAAATAAAATATAAATAATAAAATAAATAAAACTGGTTTAGAGCATCAAGTGCTAAAATCTAGTGAAAGAAATTAGTTGTAACTTTTTTTTAAAAAAAACACCATATTATTTTGATAATGTTTAAATTAAACAACATAGAACTTTGGATAAATAAGAATGGATCCGTTTTCATTTTTGGGATGTTGACATTCATGGAAAATTATCTACAAAAAAGCATTCAACCTGACAAAAACAGATATATATAATGTCACTGGGACCTCTAATGTAATTCTGTTGTGGAAATTCAACTAATTATTCAAAAACTGAAGACTTGCTTAAACCCGGATCTGTGGTTATATTTATAATTAAAGATGTTAGTAGAAGGAAGGAAAAGGGGATGAAAGAGAGGATAAAAGAAAGGTCGAAAGAAGAAAAGAAAGGAAGCAAGAAAGAAAGACAAAGAAACACACATATGATAACATCAAAAATAAAATTTGGAAAATCAAATAAATAGTAAAAATACTTTGGTTAAAGTCCAAACTTTTCCAGAGTTCTAATAGAAATTGATTAATTTCAGGAGCAGCTCACGTTTCACCTCCCGATATAAACTTTATGATGTGATCACCTGCAGAGCTTCCCAACAGCAAATAAGGAGATAATGGGTTCAGTTGTGGGCCGGTCCTGCTCTTCCTCCTCCCCTTCCTCCTCTGGGTAATAAGCAGGGCTCTCATCTCGCTCCACAGGCTCATCGTTAGTGACCCAAAACTGACCTTCCTCACGGGGATCCAACTCATCATATTCCTCCACCTCTTCTTCTGAATAATCAGAGCCAAACTCCCTGTTGCAAACAGAGTCAGATGTTTGTGTCCAATAACTATTAAAATAATAACAACAGAAGCGTCGACTCACTCATAGGGCTCGTCAAAATCCTGCGTCTGCAGCTCCCGCAGCAACTCCTTGAGCTGTTCTTGGTTCTCATTGGTCATGAAGATTTTCTGCAAGGCATGCTGCTCGCATCGGGTCTGCTGCCCTCGTTTTGCTTTCAGAGGGACCCTGAAAGTCGAGGGACCTGGGAAGGGGCTTCCTGTCGCCCTTCGAGTCCCTTCGGCGATCGTTAAATCCCCGTCCTCGTCCCGCATCTCTCCCCCTTCCACGCCGGCACCACCGCTGCCGCCACCACTACCACCGCTGCCACAGCCACCGCCTCGTCCTTTTCCAGATCTGAGGAGACAGAAGTTCAAGGAAGGCAAATGGGATAAAGTGATAAGTGAAGCCGTGAATACCTGCTGGAGCGAGAGGGTCCAAAATCTAGGCTGAAATCGTCATCGTCGTCATCCCAGCGACCGGCTCCTCCTCCCTTCCGGCTTCCACCTCCGCCACCGCCACCTCCTCTGGGCTTGTTAAATCGCCCTCCTCCTCTGTTTGGCTTCCCTCCTCTTCTCCTGGCGTTCATCTTTCTGCTCCGACACACACAATCAGTGCAAAAAAAAAAAAAAAGAAGAAAAAAACACGCAGGATTTCTGCAAATAAACTCCCTTAAACTTCAAAGTAAGCAAACCTTCAGTCAGTGTTCCTTCATGGCTGCGAACCATCTATGAACAGAGACAGAAAAAGAGCAGATTGGATGTGTGTGTTTTCAGCTTTTATAGCAAGAAAAAAAAAAGAAAGGGGATCCTGGAAACAGCAGCGCCAAGCAGCAGGGACAGCTGATAGACGCAGAGCGGTTACTGTACGGGCACGACGGAGCGGAGAGTGGCTTATAGCTGAGGGGGGATTTTCAATTCAAGTGCAAAGCAATGAGATGGTGGCTGACACACAACGCTGTTGGCTGCAATTATGCAATCAAACCGCGGAGTAACAATCCCAGCAGAGGCGACACGGCTGCTCAGGCGTATCATTAGCAAAAAGAGCTATGAAGGTTAGAAATACAACAGAGTTAAGAAAAGTCAGATGGGGGGGATTGCTAGTCATTGTATTGTACTTTACAGAAATAAGTCAAATTACGAACAGAGCATCAAGTACATCAAACAAAGTCATAACACTTAAACAAAAAGCACATTAATAAGCGTAAAACAAGACAATAATCAGTCATTAAAAGCTGTTCTGAAATGGTGGTTTTGAGACATAATTTTAATTTTTATAGAAGATTAAATTGAGTACAGAAACGCTGCAAAGTAAAAATCGAACTAACATCATCAAAATTGAATTTGCTACAGTCACACTTCAGCATTATTAGGAAAATGGTATTAAATTCAAGGCTACTTAAGTATTAAGAATTGTAAATTTATCTTTCCTATTCTTATTATTGCACATACCATATATAATTAGATATTTTATTATTATTCCTGCTGCTTTAAGGTTGCCATTTTAGAGATATTAACCATTTCTTATTCTCTCTTTTCTTATGGACACACAGTTACTCCAATATGAAACTACAGCTAAATTTAATCAAAAAAAACCTCTGGGTTAGCTCTTTTGTGGATTTTTTATATATGTATATGTTTTTTAAAAATTCTTAACCGGTCCTAATCAAAACTTTTACTGTTGTTAAGATTGTGTTTTTATATTTGATTTTTCTTTCTTTCTTTATTTATTTATTTCTAAAACATACTCAGTCTAGTCTTTTACAATTCCTATTACAAGGTTCTATTTTTTTGGACATGTAGCTGAATAAGACTAAAAATGTATATGATCTGTAAATTGTCTTTCTGTACTGAACATACTACATTTCAGAGGTTAATGTGATTTAATAATATGTTAAGCAATCATAAGCAATGAGAGTTCTTAAGGACACATCTAGTCCAGTTTACTACCACTACCCTCAGGATACTGATGTTCAATGAGGTCAATTAATTGGACCTCATTATTAATTTAAAACTCAAGCATTCCAATTTGACAATACATTCAGCTTTTTCCATGATTGACCCCAATTAAATCATATTTACTGAGTGGGGATTTGTTTGCTCACTCAAAACTAATTTAATGTAAGGGAACTTGATTATATGACTTCAATAAATATTATCTGCAATCTGCAATAAGTCACTTGGAGTTATTTAAGGGGGATCAGAAGACATAATGTTTCGTGTATTGTACAAGTTAACATGTCAAAAACAAAGGCCATCATACGCATCAACTTAAAAACTTCATAAAATAAAAAGTTTTAAATGAAAATAGTACACAAAGAAGATATGATAATTGAGTCTTTTATACTAATATGAAAGTTAATAGTTCATCAACATACGTAGCTACCCTGAGAAATAAACTGTACAAGGTCTCGGCACATGTGTGCGAAAAGGTTTGTTTACGAATGCGAATTAGCATTAGCATCCATATAGTTGGCTAACGAGCTAACAGCTAGCACGCGTCTAACTTCCACTGTAGCATGCTAGGCGATGTGTGAAATGTCCTCACAGCCCAGACTCTCATTTTTCACAGCGTGGAACGAACTCAACCGTCTGAAACGTGTCACAACAGACAAAGCCGACGACTCATACCTTTCAGAAAAAGAACTTTTAAAATGTGAACGTACCTGAAACAGCAGCTCCAACACACTCCGCCCCCCGGCACGGCACATAGTCTTTCATTGGCCGAAGTTCGGAGTTCATACTTTCTTTTCCGGTTCTTGTGTTGCATCACTGTGGTTTTTAAACCACTCTTAAGTTACTCATAACATTTGACATTACACAAGCATATTGGTAATATAAATTTTCATGAAACAATACCTTAAAAATTGTTAGTTTTTTTTCAACTACGTGAGAGGAAGTAGTGGGCGGGATTTAAAGATAAGCTCCGCCTCCTAATCGCTGTGATTGGTCCTTGATTCTCCAGTCTTCCGCTGCTGATAGACCACTTAAAAGGGGAAAAAAAGCAAGCAAACGTAATAAAGACTTTCTTCCATTCAGCTAGCATTACAAACTTTTCAAAATTTTCTTTTTTGAATGTATCATGGATACAGAGTTATATCATCATCAGCTAGTAATATTGATTTCCATACCAATCACTGCAAATAAAAAGGTGCATGTGCAGCACTACAGAGGTAAAGCTTTTAATTGAATTTCTACCTGCAGAGAAAAATGTCTGACTGCCTTTTCTGTTAATTTTATCACAAAATGTACAAAAAGTCACACAACGGGCAAACTACAAATAGTATACAAATTGAAAAGAAAACCCAAAAAAACATTTCTCATTCTTGTATCCACAATGTAATAAATGCAACAATACCATCAGCCATGTGTCATCATTGGGTTGAAAGTCCCCAGGTAATGGTAAATTCCTTCAGTTTTTTTAAAATCATATTTCAAGTTTTGAATAAGAAAAACTTGAAACTTAATTTTATTCATGTATTCTAAACAAACAAACAAAAATCAAAATTAATTTTGAATAAAGCAATTAAAATTTCATCTCCTCCAAGGCATGCAGACTCATTGAACTATTTTGATACATTTTGGAAAAATTATTCACACCATTTTTGTCAAGTTTTCAAACAGTTGTAGTTCTTTCCGCTCTCCAGGGGTTGGCGGTGTTCGCCGTCGTCCGTGTTTTTTAATAGGCCACGCCCCTTCGAAGCACAACCTCCTCATTTTCCGCAGTGGTAGCTAGACCCCGCCGTTACTATGGCAACGCCTACCTGCAGCGAACTGCCGGAGCTCATTCTTAATGAAAACGTGTGAAAAGTTTAGACTAATCACACCAATTTGGGGACAACCGACGCGACGACAATCCGACACACACCTCTGGGTTCAATTTTCCGACTTTACACTTTTTTTCCCTTTTTTTTCTTTCTCCCCCTTCACAGTGAAACAGCGTCTGTTGTGGACTCTGACAGCCATCTGCCAACTGAGGGAAGCTGTCATAGCATGACTGGTGAGGTGCAAATACTATCACACACAGAGAGAGAGAGAGAGAAAACAACAAACAAAACCTGTGATTCTATCTTCTGTCAGACAAAAAAGGCACATAGTTTGAATATGTGAATATCCACGTTTATTTTATTTAAGTGTTTCAATGTATTTGGATGTGTTTGTCTGCAGACACTGTAATCCAGGTTTCCCTCATTTTTCCAAATGGGGACAAGTACGGTGAGTGGGGACGTAAAACCCAACCAACGCGTGAACGTTCTGTCCTTTTTCCACAGGTTATGTCATTTCCTGTACAGGTTTAAAGAGGTTTTACTTAAGATACTACAAAAGTCTACAAAGATTGCCCAACTGATTTCATATTTGTTTGACTAAATGTTTTAGATAACCTGACTAGTTTATAAAAAAAATAATAATCATTCAGATGGTGACAAAAACTTAAAACAGTAGAATCAAGTATATAGATATTAAAGTAATCAGGAGTAGTGCCAGAGTTACATAAGCTGTTTGTTCATGTCACAGAGGGCGAGTGTCGCAAGTCTGAATCTGGAGAGCTGGTGAGAAGCGGCACAGGAAAACACACTTCAGCCAGTGGCATCGTATACACCGGAGAGTGGCAAGAGGACAAAGTATGCGCTATCCGTCTCTCTGTCCTCTTCTTAACATCTGTTTGTTTATGATGCACGTCTTTCCTCTCTCCAGATGCTGGGCAAAGGGACCCTGCAGTTTCCCTCTGGGGCCGTGTATGAAGGAGAGTTCAAAGACAACGCGTACAGCGGCTGGGGAACATACACATTTCCGGACGGCTCTATGTACAAGGGCCAATTTTACAATGACAGGTAGTCGCCAGAGTACCCTCAGGTATTTCAACTGTCACAACGCGCAGTTCTGAATGTCTGCAATGGTGTTTTATAGGCTGGAGGGAGAGGGTACCTTCACTGACACACAAGGCCTGAAGTGGACTGGAGACTTCCACGGTGAAGCAGCACTTGGTCTCAAACTGATGCACAACCTCTAGACAAAAAAAAAAACAAAAAAAAAAACAGACTAAAGAATCATTGTTCTAGAGCTAGACCACATTAGGAAAACACTAACACTGAAAGTTGATTAAACGTTCAAATGTGAACATCTCCATTTCTTCAGTAAAACAATAAAATATTGGAAATCTTGAGGAAGCAGAGTCAATGGGTATAGTTTAATCTAAAATATCCTTCATTTAAATTCTTCTTCTCTTCCTCTAAACAACACAGTATAAACAGTCTGCCTCGGGCAATCAGTGCAAAAAAAAAAACCTTGCCAAAAAATTATGGTTTTTGGCAGGGTTAAGGCACCTCTTAAACAACAGATGTGGTAAGGGCCATTTATTTGCCACATGGGGGTAGAAAGGACGTAGTGGAGGTTTTAAGGTCTAAACTTGTCATAATTTCCAATAAGCAGAGTAAAAAACCAAGATATACAATTTCAAATTTATTTCTCATCATGTTGACTTTGGAGCTACATTGTTTCAGATTGATTGACGTTTTGGATTATTTCCTTGCAAGGACGAAGACGTTTGTAGAAATGATGCAGATTTTATAATGGATTTTGTTTTTATAACACAAAGGTTGTTTTGGAGACACTCATAGGGACAGGCTTTAAAACCCTGGAAGTCAGCCTGCACCTCACTCTGAATATATTCTCACTTTCATGCGTAAAAGAAGCTGGTGCGGCGACGTCGACGTGGCTCTCGTCGACGGAGCCACATTTTTCTAAATCCGGCCCTGAGGTTCTCCTGACAAGGCAAACACTGAACTACTAATCTGCTGCATGGTTTCCTGCCTCAAGACGTTAAAACTATTTGTGCATTTTTGTTTCATCGACTTCATTTTCCACATACATTTTTTTTCGATTTGTTATATGCTAAAACTATACGATGAAATGCCAGTTAATTAATTTGATTAAGCCAAAGAGCAAGAACCCATGAGCAGAATATCTGCAGTTCAGTGGGCAGATATCTGAAATTAGCTCCTCACGTCTGTAGCTCCGAGTCACTTTCTGTGCTTCGGCACAGCAAGTGCCTGCCCGCGTCAGCTTCATTTGACACATTACATTATCGGACGGGTTCCGCTTTGGGCGCGTCGGCTGTTTGTGACGACTTCGCTCCCAACTCTTACTCCAGGAATATTAATGGAAAGTGGATGAAGTCAGTTCTCTACTCTCTGTTTACTCCCGAATCCCTCCTGGATGTGTTCCACCCGACCTCCAGCATGCACGAATACACTTGGCCTGACGCGCAAACAAATCAGATCAGAAGCAAATAAAGTTTTTAAACAGGGTTTAATAGGGAACTCTGATATTGTAATTTATCACTCTGTTGTATAATGCCACTGTGGATCTGTAATTGCACATACCCCTGAATCAATTCAGTAAAGAGAAGTAAGTCCGTCCAGAATGTACAGATATGGAAGAGTAATACACACATATAGATACGGTACTGACTTCCACAGAATCCTACACACCTCATGTAAAACACTGTACAAGATACAAGACACAACTATATATATATTTTTTTGATTGCACAGTTAAAAGGTAGAAAATAAAACAACTGTATTGCAAACCTCCAGTAGTGTTTTCAATGTAAAAGTGTCAACATAATTAACAAATAGGAGATGGCACTCAAATTTGGCACAAGATATATACATAAAAAAAAGAAGAAAAAAAAAGAAATTAAATGCAGCTGACAAATACAACTTTACAACTGTGTACACCTTCTGGAGTTAAAGTTTATTGTACTGAACTATGAGAGTGAAGGTGTGTACTTTTCTCCATGTAGTGAGCTAGACAACGGTGAGGAAGATTTTAAAACTCTGCTATATGTTCTCTCCAGAAACCTGAGAATATATATATAAACTATTTTTAAACTCTTTTCTTTGTTAATAAAATTGTGACTTTAACAGGCAAACAGAATAATGATAATAGAGCTAGAAATAGTTTTTTTTTTCTTCATAATTTCTGAAGTAAGATTCTTTTTTTAAAGGTTGCAAGCTGTTAACATCTTACCTGCAGTCGCTAACTTTCTTGACGTCATCATTCAGGATAAACCAGACCAACTTATTCGGAGTTATATTAATGTAGACACCAAAGGTATTTTCCACTGCATGTAAGATATTGATTGCTTATTACCTTTTAACCCAACTCTGCTTCGGGAATCCTGAAGTGTCCCCGTAATGTCTGAACACAGGTGCAGAGAAAATGTTGGTCATGCACAGTTTGTACACAAAGGCAAACAGCCGAGCGTCAAGACGAGCATCTTACTGTACGCAAAGACGCGGAGGAACTTGTGCCACACAGCAAGTACACTACAAACCAAAAATATGACATCGAAACATCCTGCTGTGCTTGTCCGTGTGTGTAACAACTGGGTTTGGTGCCCTGCTTGGGTACTCCAAAGTGAGGGAAGAATAGCACAAAAAAAAAAAAAGGTAACAAAAACAGCACCAATTATTGTAGCAATCAAATCCCACCGTCGGTGTGCTGAGCAGTTACATATTGTGCTGTAGTTGGAAAGATAAACGTGGTTTTGATGAGTCGCTACAGATTTCCAGCTGTTCCATGTAAGTGCTAATTGCTGAGATTTGAGAAACCCAGATGGTTCAGGGGAAGCAACTCCACAAACAGGAAAATGTAGTGACTGTTGAAAACTGTGTTGAAGTTGCTTACTTAATCTGCAGACTTTCTCATTTGTTACTCCTTTATGACACACCAAAAATGTCCCTCAGTTTACTGAATGCTAACCCTACCGTACATAATATCAGTGAGTAGCTAGCTTTATTACCACATAATTTTGTTTAATGTATTTTTTATGCAGGACAGGTTTGAATCTTCCTGAACTTTCCTGTGGAACAATCCAGAACTCTAGAGCTGGCAGGTTGTGATATGTATAGCAGATGGGCAACATCTGTGTCTGCAAGTTTAACTCCAAACTCAAAATGAAAGTGACTCTTCCCTTCAGTTCTGTAGTTTAAATATTAAGCATTCATCATAGAGCTTTTTTTTTAAAGAAGGATTATTGTTTGACATTCCTTTAACTATATTTGCTTTGCTTTCCTTTTATAAACATCCAAAAATATACTAATGCACCTACAGCTGGTTTTGCTTCCCTTTTTTCCTGTAGCTCCCAGAACCATATTTTTTTTGTTTGTATTTACCATTCCTCTTGTAATTTTTTTTTTAAGAAAATGCATAAAACAATGTTTGAGTTTCTGCTTACAATCTAAAACCTAATACCTCCAGCTAATTTGTTTCGAAATAATAATAAAAAATTGGATTTCAACATATATTTAAAAAAAAAAAACATTAGAAAATGTTTCTAATTCAAAGTTAAAAATAAATAAAACATAACAAAGGAATCAGAAGAGCACCGACTTACTAAAGAAGAGGGACTGGGGTTTTTTGGGGGGGGGGGGCAGTAGAACTGGCTGAAACAGTGTCGTGCTACAACAATCTGAAAGGTTTTTGAGCTGCTACTTTCATTCTGATGTGCTTACGGATTCACAGTAGTCTTAGGCACGTTATCGTAGAAAATGTAAATGTGCGGCATCAAATCTACCTGATCTTACCTGCGTTTCTCCTTCCTCCTGAGATTTGACCAAATACAAATATTGTTGTATGCTGTCGCCTTTCAGTGAAACTCAGCTAACTTCTGAAATTTAAAAAAAAAAACACACTTCAGTCGACATCTGCAGTGCCACGTCTCCCTGCCGCCTCCGCTTCCTCCCAGCGTCGGGCGCTACGGGTTCTGCAGCAGCCCCTCCCACTGGATGGGCTGAGAGAACACCTCTCGCTCCAGCCACATCTCGTAGCTGTAGTGGAAGTCCTCCGGCAGCTCCACGCGCTGGCCCAGCACGCTCTGCAGGCAGTTGTCCACGGGCGCGAAGTCGCCGTTTCTGTTCCTGTCGTAGCGCCGGCTGTTGAACTTCTCGATGTTCTCCCGCAGGGCGCACTCCTCCGCCTGGAAGTCCCAAGGTCGAGCGTCGATATCTGGCGACAGAGAGCGGGAGAAGAACTTATACTGGCACGCGTCGATCGAAATCAATTCCACTTTTTCAGATGGAACATTTGTGTCCCCATTTGCTCGTCTCCAACTAATCCGTCCTCTTCCAATCAGTCTGTGCTTCTCTGACTCTCCTATGAGGAATAGTGACCCTGAGAAGTCTCCCCCATCTATGTTGCCATGGCAACACCACCCAGATTATTGCAAGAGACTGGTGCAGGATTATGTTTCAGAGCGAACAGTAATACTAAAACTAAATGTGCATCATGAGGAGGGAAACGCTGTTAAGAAAATTTCTGGGTTTTGCCTTTTTTTTAATCGCACTGAAATGTTACAAATCCAACATATTTTAATACTGGAGAGAAATAAACCTGAAATAAACACAAAATTACATTTAATGACATTGAAAAAAAAATCTGTCCAAAAATCCTTAGTTTTTTTTGTTGTTGTTGTTGAGCCAATTGGGAGTTGCGTTGCTTTTCAAGATCTTCTAGACCTCAAACCTCAAAAATATTAGCCGTTAGAAACGCAGGTTTACCGTTCCCGTAGGCCCAGTCGTCATTGAGCCTGTGGCGGACTTTCTGGTAAATGGCCGACATTGTCTTCATGTTGCTCTTCCTCCACTGGCGGCCCAGGTACTTGGTCTGAATCTTGAGCAGCTTGAGCACGTAGAGCTGCATCATGGCCTGCTTGACCTTCAGAGCTCTCTTCAGGATGGGGGCTGACTTAAAAACAACCAACATCTGAAAAGGACGAAGACATTTACTAAACAAAACAAAACTGAAGAAAAGAGTATTTTGAGCTTTGAATTTAAGCATAAAAACTTCTTGAGGAAAGGCTTGTTCTTACAACACTTGTTTGGCATGTAGATAGCATAAAATGATTGTTATGGAAACTCTTATTGCCCTCCTGCCTGTGCATGCTAGCGCCATAAATATATATGAATATTTTGAGATATTTATTAACAGCTCTGACTGAAAATGAGAGTAAGCAGCTATTTTCTCGTAGTTATTTCCTGTCCCGTCTTGAGTCATGTTCGCTTGTCTTTCTTATTATGAACAGTGGCATTTTAAACATTTGTTGTAAAAATCTGAACACTGAACAAAATATTGGATTGCAGCTTGGAAGTATAAGAAGTT